ATGTGGATCAAAAATGCCAAAGCTAGCAGAAATTCAAGCCGGCTAGCAAGTTGCCTGTAGCTCAAAAATTCAAGCGGGTCATTTTTAATTCATGAATTTTAATTTTCAATTCGCGAGTTTTGTAAATTCAATGCGATTGCCGTACACATTCTAGCGGCAAAGCGTTTTTTTGCTATCACCGTCATATACAAATGCAGGGAAACCGCGGACTGGTGCATAAAATTTCTAGTTCCGTACAAGATCTTTATCGCCAAAAACGAACCAGTCCGATAGTAAGTAGATCCCCAACAGTTCAAAATCAGCGAAATGTTGGTCTCTTAAAAAAACTATTTTATTTCTCTTTTTTCATTAGAAATCTATATCTAAAGAGACGAATTTAGAACTGGATTTATAGAAAAAGGGACGCAGAACGAACTAGATCTTATCTGTCGAATTTAGAATTAGTTCGAAACTATCGAAAAAGGGATTCAGCGGGGGGCTTATTTACTTTACATAGATATGTGTTTGGCGGCTTTTTCGTTCAAATGCACTTTCATTCTGCACTTCGCAGATGCTATTTCATAGTTTGGTAATACAAAACAAAACTTTGTATTAACATACTAACATCTTGGGGCCAACTGGAATGTAACAAATAACAGCGAGCACCTCTGCAAAGTCAGCTACAGCCAAAGGTATGTAAACGTACATTTCTTACAATCATTCAAACAAATTTAATTTCAAATTGAAAAAAACGTTTCTTTGGAAATAATGTAAAATCGCACACGGAAGAACCGAAAAGACTGAAAAATCATAATACTTTTTTCTTTCGTCTGGCGATTTTAAAACTGGTTTGGAACTATAGAATTTAGAACTAGTTCGGAACTATCGAAAAAGGGATGCAGCGGGGGGCAATTGACACTTCCTAGGACATTGCCATGTTAAATTCGCCAGTTGTTTGTATGCAAAAGAGATTTATCGCGAACCAGTGCTGGGTCTAATCGTACTACATGCGCACCAGTTTAGAACTAAAGATTTTCGCCACAGGGTGTATCTATACGTAAGTATGTATGTACATGGATTTACAAATGTCATTCAATGTTGACACTTCCTCTGGTTTTGAGCTCGCAGCAACTGTTGATTAGTAATTATGCTTATCAGCAAGAAATGAACTGAACTGAAATGAACGCAAATGTAGTACATTACACATACATATGTATGTAGATATTTCATACATAATGTACATGTGTACATACATATGTACTAAAATTGTAGTAAATGTAAGGCTGAATATTTTTGTGGAGCGAAAACT